TGTTGACAGACAGAGCTGTGGCTGGATTTATTTCAGGAACTGATAGATGGATATTGCACTTTGGTGTCTTTTACAGTAACCTGATCCCTGGGATAGTCCCTGCATTAAGAGGCTGGAACAGAGTGCTGTATGTGAGGGAGTAAGGAGGAGTGACACTAATTCAGGCCAGAGCTCCTTCAGTGAGCACCCAGGAGTGCTCACTGGTATCTGCTCGTGTGACATCCACTGCCCTTGTGGAGGCTGCTCAGGCTGGAGCTGCCTTGGCTGGGGCTGCTGGGGGTGAGGAAACTGGTCCATCCTGAGTGTAAAGCAGAAGTGTGCACAGAGTCTTACTTGTTCCCACTGCAAATGTAAACCTCTTGTCTGTGGCTGCTCCGTCCCTGGGAGTGTTCCAGGCCAGGTTGGATGGGGTTGGAGCACCCTGGGCTGGTGGGAGGTGTCCCTGCCCAGGGCAGGGGTGGAAGGAGATGACCTTTAGGATCCCTTCCAACCCAAACCAGTCTGGGATTCAGTGATTATGATTTGGCCCCAACACTCAGACACCTGCATGGCCCAGATGACACAGTGAGCCTTTGCCAGCTCTTTCACCAGCACTTCCAGCACTAATGGTGAAAGAATTGGAAATATCAGTTCCTCTTGCTGCATTTGGGAGCAACTGGAGGTGGCACTCAGTGCTCTGCTCTAGCTGACAAGGTGGTGATGGGGCACAGGTTGGACTTGAGGATCCTGGAGGTCTTTTTCCACCTTAATGATTCTGTGATAATGAATTTGGGCCTGATTTAGGGGTTTTTAATTATTTTTGTTTAAGTGAGTAAGGATGATGAATTTGACTCTGCAAACCTACCTGGAGATTTACAGTACCAAATTAACAGGAGCTCTGGCTTATGGATTACTAGATCACTTTATAACTTGATGATTAAATTCAAACTGCCAAACTAAATTCCTCTCTCTGAGAGTGTAATCAAAACCATTCAGGGAACTCTTGCCTGAGAAATTGTAGATATAAACAGCAATTGCTTATTTCAGTAAACACACTTGTTCACTGCCAAACTAATCACGTTACTGCAGATGGAATCCCAGTGTGCAGCTTTTCTTCACTCCCCCATTTAATTGACAGCAAGATGCATCATATCTATATCAATTCCTGGTGCTAATCACTCTGCTCCTATTCCTGGGCTAATCTCCATGCTCTGGCTATGCCAGGGCTGGATGCTGGGGGCTCTGCTCTGGGCTCTGCTGTTGTAAATCCTGTGTTTAAAACGGAACCAAAGCATAGACTCAAACCCAACCGATACCAGTACCCCTTGGACCTCGAATTTGGCTTTTCTTGTGTCCTCTTATTTCCCCGAAGTTGAGTTGTACACTTGGAAAATTGTCTGGAAACACAGTGCAGAGCTGGTTTGGAGGTGGGGAATTGCCTTTTTCTCAAGCTCATGGAAGTTAAGCACATGTGGCTGAGCTTGGTCAGCCAAGACACGAGCAAGGCTGCACCATGGGTGTTTTTGGTCCTCACAGTTTGCTGCCTGTCAGTGCTGTCTCGGAGTGGCAGGGTGATATTTCAGGAAGCTGGGAAGTTGGCAGCAGCTGCACTCACTGGGATGATCCAGCACTGAAAGCAGCAGCTCTCTGAGGGGAAGCAGGAGGTGTTGGGAGCCAACCAGTGACCCTGGCTGTGCAGCCCGGAATGCTGCAGCAGTGCCAGTTTCCAGGGGTTCAAGGGAAAAACCTTTGATGTGTTTGGATTCTTGTCCCATGTGGGAGGGGAAGCTCTGAGAGCCATGGTGGGAGTCTCACAGCAAACCTCTGGAGAGCAGGGGCAGAGAGATGTCTTAGAGCCACCAAGGAAGGAGTGGAGACAGCGATGGCTGGATTCTTTCCTTGAGTCCATCTCTCCCTGGAAAAACATGTTATGGAACTGCATCAGAATTCCATACTGTACATATTGTGGCTGCTCCATCCCTGGGACTGTTCCAGGCCAGGCTGGATGGAGCTTGAAGCACCCTGAGCTGGGGGAAGGTGTCCCTGCCCATGGCAGGGGGTGGGATGGGATGAGCTTTAGGATCCTTTCCAACCCAAATCATTCTGGTATTCTATGATATATTTATACCATGCTTTGGGGAATATAAGGGCTTTTACCATTCTTTGAGGGACATAAGTTCTTAGCACTGCTGGAGACGAGAGGCCTGGAGAGAGAGCAGGGCAAGAGGCAGCAGCAGGTGGGAAGGGACAGAATTCCTTGGCTAGAAGAGTCGCGTGGAAGCTGCATTTCTTTGAAGTGCCCAAACTTTGTCCCTCATCCGGTGATCTTTGCCAGCAGCCACGTGCAAACAGAGGAGAGTGAGGGCAAACTAATGGGGAGGCTCATCAGGATTCACCTCTGCGCTTGCCTGCGCCGGCGCCTCTCGCTGTCTGTGTGTGCCTGGGGTGCTCCCGGGGCCGCAGCGCTCGTGGCTCTGTTTGAGGGCTGCACTGGGTTTAAACAGCCTCCTAATGAGCAGACCTTTGTTCCCAGTGTTTGCACTGGCCCAGCCTGGGTGCAGCTGGGCAGGTGCTCCGTGTGCTGCCCAGGTGCCAGCAGTGAGGCTGTGCCCCAGGGGGCTGGGGGATGGATGTGGTCCCTGGGGAACCACAAGCACTGGGTGTGGGAAAAACCAGTGGTCCTGCTAGGATTTGCCAAGCTTTGGTTGTCTTCTGTCTGAACTCTCCCTTTATTTCTGGGAAGGTATAAATCATAGCATCATCATGGAATCACAGAATGGTTTGGGTAGGAGGGAACATTAAAGCCCATCCCATTCCACCCTCTGCCATGGGCAGGGACACCTTCCACCAGCCCAGGGTGCTCCAACCTGGCCTTGAACATTTCCAGGGATGGAGCAGCCACAGCTGCTCTGGAAAACCTGTGCCAGTGCCTCACCACCCTCTCAGGGAATAATTCCTTCCCAATCTCCCATCTGTCCCTGCCCTCTGGCAGTGGGAACCGTTCCCTGTGTCCTGTCCCTCCATCCCTTGTAAAACAGCTCTCCTGGAGCCCCTTGAGGCACTGGAAGGGGCTCTGAGCTCTCCCTGGAGTTTCTCTCCTCCAGGCTGAGCACCCCCAGCTCTCCCAGCCTGGCTCCAGGGCAGAGGAGCTCCAGCTCTTGGAGTAGCTCCGTGGTCTCCTCCAGCATGGTTAAACCCTCCAGATGAAGTGAAGCACACTGTCTCCAGCCCAGCAGTGTAGCACACGTGCAGTGACAGTGCTTGCTGCTGTCCTCAGTGATCTGCGTGAGCTGCTTGCAGTCTAGTCAGTATAATCCATGACTGCAGGATGAACTTGGTCATTAATTACCTGTGGAATATGCACTTCCTTCAGACATGGCTGCTAGTTACTAGGTTTTATTTTCAGCTCTGTAGTAGTGAGGGGAGCACTCAGAAATAATACATTTAAATCATAATCCTGCTGCAGAATGGGCAAATAATTCTGAACAGAAATATTTAGGTTGCATGCACCATATAACCTGAGCTCAGACTTTTTGTGCTTGGCTGGAATGGAGTTTTGTGGTTTGCATTTTCATTAGTTCGCTCTTTCCTGCCTGGGAGATCTGGACACGAGCTGTTGTGCCTCAGAGGAGGGATGGCCATTGGCCTGGAGACTGGATTGTGCTCAGAGCTGAGACTGTAGGGTGTAAACAGATTTCTCTGGGGGAGGAAGCAGCTCCCTGTCAGGTGACTGAGCAGGTGTCAGCCTTTCTCTCCACGGTCACTGCACACAGAGCAGCAGCAGCAGCTCCTGGAATATTAGGAATATCTCACACTGGAGAGATTCCCAAAGCCCTTCCAGGAAGATCTGAGCTTGCCTGGAAACTGCCACATCATTAACTTCTGTCACTTTGAAGGTGTGTTTTAACATGCTGTAGGATATAAACTGCTTGGCTTAGAAGACTCTCAATAAGGATGCGGAATTGGAGTTTCTTCAGTGTTTCAGAACATTTGACAGCAAAATCATCTCGTGAACTTGGTCAGACTTGAGCTTGGGTTAATGCCACTGTCCAGGTCCCCAGTATCCAGCATAAAGTGTACAGGCAGCTCTGTGTCCTTCGCTGTGATGGATTTTTTGGTGGGGAGCTGAGGCCAACCATGTGTCTATTCAAATCCTTCCTAAGCATCCTGTAACATCTGACTGTTCCTAGAGGTAATTCCTACAGGTAGTAGCCCTTGAGTCCAGCCTTGCATTGAAGTAGGCAAGGTGGAGTGAACATGTGGCAGCACTTTATGGTCTCGGTACTGTTTGTTCCTCAGTGCTTTAGCACAATATTGCTATTACAGAAGGGGAAAGTGAGTGGCAATAGGTGAGTTTGCCTTTTTGGGGTTTCTGATCTGTGGGGTGTGTGTCTGTCCCTGTGTGTGCACAACCCATACAGACCCTCATGGGCTGTGCTGGCTCTTTGCAGGGTGCCCTGGTGCATGTCCAAGCTGCAGAAGCTGCTCTAGTGAAGAACCATCTCCCCACGAGGGAGCAGCAGATTTTGGCCCTGCAAACCGTCAGCGAGTTCGATGTCCTCGTCATCGGTGGAGGAGCGACAGGCTGTGGCTGTGCTCTGGATGCAGCCACCAGAGGTAAAGCCTTGGGGGTTCAATTGCCTCTTACTCTTGGATTAATAGTCTGTAAAAAATGTATCAGCTTGGCTTTTCACAAGGGGGTAGAGGAGGTGTGCCCTGAGTCCTGGTTACACAGCTGCTGTTCTCAGAAGAGAAAATGGACTTGGAGAAGGTCCATGCAGCAGGTCTGTGCTCCCATCACCTTTGGGGAATTAGCTAACTGGTTTAAGAGGCTCCTAGAAGCAGCAGAATTGATGTTAACTTTATGTGGAGCCTTAACTTAGGGAAAGTTCGAGGGGAAAATGAGTTTTAGCTTATGCTTTTTACCTGACTTCATAACATCCCTGACTGGGCTGGGTTGGAAGGGACCTTGAAGCTCATTCCATTTCACCTCCCAGCTAACTTCTACAGAGGATGAGTGTGTGAGGACACAGGTAGACTAGCTGTGCGGGTACAGGGATGAGAGTGCATGAATGCTGTTCCTGCATCACTCCTGTTCTGTCAACTGCTATATTCCCCCAGAAGATCCTATTTTCACCCAAAAAAACCTGTAAAGGATTTGTGAGGAGGGTTTGTCTTGGAAAGTGTTCTCTCACCTGTTATTTTCAGTGAGAGAGAGAACCATCCTTCCTTAAATTCTGTGTTCACAGAGCTTGTTCCTGGTTCTGAAACTAAAATGGGAAAAAACCAGTGTCAAACATTGAGGTTAGCCCTAAAGTCTTCAGGGTCTTTAACCTGCAGATACACCTCAGAAAGAGCAGCAAAACCTGCAGTTTGAGTTGAGCACTTGCCTAGAAGGTGTGATGATTTGAAGTGGATAAAGCAGCGATGTCTGCACGTTGGGACATCACCAAACTCCAGCCTGGTGCTTATATTTGATAACACAGGACAAAAAGTAACTTGGGATCTCTTCTCTTCTGCCTCTGCTGTGCTGTGGCAGAAAAAGCAGTGGCAGAGCAGACAGAAATCATTACAGTTAATGCCTGTTTATCCTTTTCCTGGATGTTCTGATTTCTATCAGTAGATTTCTGAGGTGTGAAACATTCCTGGGCATTTGGTTAATGAGTTGTGCCTCATTGCTGTTCACTCAGGGAAGTTGCTCTTTTTATTGTGTTTGCTTGGCTTAACAACAAATTTTGCTTCTCGTGTGTTTGATAAATCTTCACCAAATTATTTCGGATTGTGTCCATTAATCTTCAGTCACATTTGACAAAAATAAATTACTCTGATCTTTGGAAGTTACCAGTAATAATTAGATCTTTCTGGGGTTTAGGACGTAAAAGTTTTGGGAGAGCAGTGGATGTTAAAATCTCTGTGCTGGGCACTGCTGAGGCACCTTGAGTGCTGTGTCCAGTTCTGGGACCTCATGACAGAAAAGGCATTGAGGGGCTGGAGGTGTCCAGGGAAGAGAACAGAGCTGGGAAGGGGCTGGAGCAGCAGGAGCAGCTGAGGGAGCTGTGGGGGCTCAGCCTGGAGAAAAGGAGGTTCAGGGGGGACCTTCTTGTTCTCTGCAGCTCCTGCCAGGAGGTGCAGCCAGGGGGGGTCAGGCTCTGCTCCCAGGGAACAGGGACAGGGTGAGAGGGAACAGCTCGAGTTGTGCCAGGAGAGGCTCAGGTTGGACATCAGGAGGAGTTTCCCCATGGAAAGGGCTGTCAGGCACTGGGATGTGCTGCCCAGGGAGGTGATGGAGTCACCAGCCCTGGTGAGTCTGGGCAGTGTCCATGCCCATGGCTGGCTCTCCCCTGCTTTTAGGCACCTCTTAGGCAGACTGTAAGTTAGCAATCTGCCCGTTGCCTCCCTGTCTGGAATGCTGTTTTGTTTGGTGGTGCAGGAGGCTTAGAGCCCCACGCTGCCCCTCTGCTCCTGCACGGGTCCAAACTCACATTGGCCGTGGGAGTGTGGCCCTGTGATGTGCCTTTCCACTGTGAGCTATCCAGGTTTTAATGTGCTGCTAGTGAAGTTCTGCTTTGACTTTTCCCTCAGGAAGGAGACTAAAATTTTTCATTACAATATAGACAGTGCACTACACTTTGAATACAAATTCATCCATGTACAGAGTAATTTTTCTTGTGATTGTCTCTACCCTAGAGAAGTGTCTTTAATGAATTACATACAAATTGTGTAATTTAAGAAGTTAATTTGGTTTTCTGGTAACACAGGACTAAAAACAGCCCTTCTAGAAAGAGATGATTTCTCATCAGGGACCAGCAGCAGGAGCACTAAATTGATCCATGGTGGAGTGAGGTACCTCCAGAAGGCCATCATGAACTTGGATTTCGAGCAGGTAATTGTTTGTGCTAGTTGTTAAGCAGAAATTGCTGGTAGACACTTCCCTGTCCCAATTAGATCTGAGTCTCCTTTAGATTTTTTCAGTGCTTGACTGTGGTATTCCACAGCCACTGTGCATGGGAAGTGTCTCCTCCAGGGGAGTTTTCCACACTGCTGCCTTTTCCCAGTCCTTCCATGGGCAATCCAACTGCTGTGCCTGGTGGGCTGCGTATTTTGGGGCAGGAAGGCAGAGACTGGGCTGATCTCAGGATAAAAGCAGCTTTTTCCCTGTCCTGATCAGGATTTGGGGGAGTGGGAGGCTGTCCTGTTCTGGAATGGGAAAGAAAATGTGGTAAATGACTAATGTATTTTGGCATGTGGAAAGAAAATATGGTCAATGAGTGATAGATAATACATAGAGGCTTTTGTGTGTTCTTGTGTGGGTGGAAGCCTGATATTCCTGCTTGGAGGAATTGCTTTGTCTTCCCATTGAAACCTCTCAGTGTGATGCTGCTAGAGAAACGGTGATTCTGGGGGGAACCATCCAAACCATGTGGTTACCCAGCTACAGAAGCCAAGCTGTTTCTTAGAACAGCTTCATGTCGATGCACATCGACTGGTTCTGCAGCTAGGATGGGATTGAACTGTGGGAATTGGCATGGAAGCTGTGCTATGGGATGAGTCCTGGCCCTCCTAGGTGCCTCCTGCCCACAGTTGGGTTGGCACAGCTTACTGTCCTGTATGTGCAGGTGAAAAATGATCCGACTGACCTGCCAAGACACCAGAACGAAACTGCTGAAATTTCATGTTCTCGGGAGTATTTCCCTTAACGTCTGAGTTTCTGGGTGTGCCTTGAGAGCCCGTCCGTGCTGGGCGAGGTGTGGGTTTGGTGGGGGTTGTCAGTGCAGGGCTGGGTGGTGTGGGACTCACCTGGTGTCCGTGTGTTCCAGTACAGGATGGTGAAGGAGGCGCTGCAGGAACGCGCCTACGTGCTGGAGAGCGCCCCGCACCTCTCCGCGCCGCTGCCCATCATGCTCCCCATTTACAAGTAAGCTCTGCTCTAGCATCTCCCCTTTGCTTTCCCCTCTCAGAAGCAAAACATGTCCCTGGAGAAGTTCCCAGATCCTTCTGCAAGCTCTGACCTCCCCAAGGTGAGGTGTTGCTGCACGGGAGGAACATGAGACACTTAGACCTCAGCCAGTGATCACTGCCTCAAGGGACACATCCCGGGGTGCAGCTCTTCAGTGCCCTTCCAGCATGCCAGCTGGGAAGAGCTCTCATTCCAAGGATGAATGGCTGCTTTTTCCCACTACCCCCTTGTCTTCACCACACACCATCACAGTGATCTCAGTGGCATGCTGCTCGGTCCGTGGGATCGCACAGTTGGGTATGGACAGAACAGTTCCTTCTCCTCTGAGGAGTCCCTGGCTGCTTTGGGTTAGGTTCTCAGGTCACAAGAGCAGTTGCTCACAGGAACAGGCTGCTCAAAGCAGGCAGGTTTTCTGAATGGTCTTAATTTTCCTGAGATCACTCCTGTGTTGGTGAAGGGACTGTGACAGCTGGAGCTCACACAGGTCGGTGGTCAGCGGCATTGCTGTGATCTATTTGTGCAGAAGGCCTTGTCAGGACGTGCCTTGCACACACAGCTGGTTCTTCCCTCAGCACACAGCTTCAGTAGCTCACATTGAGGTACAAACAGGCAGTTTAGATCCCAACTCTAGAGCAAATAAAGCCTTGAATCTGCTCGACTTGCTGCAGCAAGAAACTCAGTTGAAAGCAGTGGCAAACAATGCATATGTCTTGAGTGTTTACAATGTATTGTGGTGCCTTATGTGATGGTGCAAGGTAAAACTGGTGTAAGACAACACACTGTGCTGCTTGCCATGCTCTCTCTTACAGTCACCGTGTGTACGTGTGCTTCCACGCTCCTGTTTGTCTCTGCCTCACGGGTGTTTTCCCCCACAGGTGGTGGCAGTTGCCATACTACTGGTTTGGAATCAAGCTGTATGACCTGGTGGCAGGAAGCCTGTGCCTGAGGAGCAGTTATGTCCTCAGCAAGTCAAGGGCCTTGGAGCTCTTCCCGATGCTGCGCAAGGACAAGCTGGTGGGAGCGATTGTCTACTACGACGGTATGTTGCCTCTCTGTGCTCCCAGTGCTGATGTCCTGCTGGGGCTGTGGGGAGAGACACGAGCATGGGGCTGTAGCTCCCACACACTGAGTCTTGAGCACGGGGCTGTAGCTCCCACACACTGAGTCTCTAAAGGGCAGAACAGCAGCTTGAAGGATTCAGCTTGCCTCTTAAGCATTGACTTGGTAGGTAAATGATGTTTTCCGTGGCAGTAACTTACTGGATGTAGGAGAAAATGTATCAGTTTTGTTGGCTGGTTGGTGTGGCACTGTGTGAAAGTGGTCTGGTGATCCTCAGTTTGGTTATAGAGGGAGTTGTATCCATTTGTAGAGCTGCATTTACACTGTTCATCCGAGGGGATTCTGGACTGGGAAGGACTCTGGAAACACAGTGGGCTCTGACAGTGTTCATGAGGCTTCTGGCTGAAGCTTCTCTTGGTACTTGCAGGTGTCTCAGGCAGAGCCCAGCATGGAAAAGCAATGGAAAATTCATATGGATGTGTGGGAATGTGTATGTGTAGGTTCTTGTGTGGGAGCAGGGTGGGATTTAAAGGATGGACTTGATTTTTACTCATCTCTGCTGGAGGCTGCACCTTGTCTGTCTTATTTTGAAGGTCTAGAGGAAATAAAAGGCCACTTAGAAGCAAAGTTTGTTGTGGGACTGTGTGGAGATCTTTGTGCTCTGTGCCAGGAGCTGCTGTAGAGAGCACACAGAGCAGGAACTGAGTTATTTATTCCTTACCTGCTTTAAGGCATCCCAGGAGCATGGCAGGAGAGCCAAGTGCTTCTCTTCCACGTAGTTACACTTCTCATAAGAGCACTGTGGCTGGAAATCTACTTGTAATCCAGTCAAGCTTTTTTCCTGATGAATAAACAAATTGGCTGTGCCATGGCTAGTGACTCCTCCAGCATTCCAAAGAGGCACCTTCCAGGGTAGCCTTGAAATTAGTCTTCCAGTTTCTTGGATGAATAATTGTTCGAATGAGTGTTGCAATAAAGCTAGAGATTCAGCACCAAGATGCCACGTGAGCTGTGATGGCTGTGCAGGACAGGACACTGAGCTGGCCCTGAGGTTGGTGCCATCCCAGCAAAAGGAAGCAAACCCAGGCTCTGAATATTGGGAGAAACTATAGGAAGGAAGAAGTGTAAAAAAGGTTGTGTGTCTTGTCCTATTTTGGTTTCTTTATAAGGCAAAGGTGAGTTATCCTCATTTTCATGCAGAATATAAAGAAATGGTGTTTTGAGTTTAAAACAAAAACCAGCTTAACAGCCCTCTCAGATCTCCACCAAACCTCAGTTTCCCTGCAGAACCAAGTGCTTCTGAAGGAGTCAAGGATGAAATCTGTGAGGTGACCATATAATCTGGGTAGTTTGAGGCTGCGCCCAATGCAGAACAAAGAGTTTTCTACCACCAAGGATTAGATGTAAAATGGAGACTTAAATAATGGCAAAGAAAAGTGCAAGTCTTAGAGTAGGTGATGTCTTTCTCTTCTCTGTCCATCCCTTTGGTCTGCTCTGTCCATCCCTTTGGTCTGCTCTGTCCATCCCTTTCCTATTCCCTGTCCATCCCTTCTGTCTTCCATCCCTATTCCCTGTCCATCCCTTCTGTCTTTGTCTGTCCCTTCCCTCTTCTCTCTGTCCCCTGGAGAAGGCCCTGTCCTGGTGCAGGGGGAAGCTGGGGGATGCTCTTTGTGTGTGCCTGTGGTCGCTGCTCAGGCCGTGGCGTGTCCAGCCATCCATAATTCATGGGGCTGCCGCATTCCCAAACGGCACCAGGGTCGTCTCCTATTCCCTGTCCATCCCTTCTGTCTTTGTCTGTCCCTTCCCTCTTCTCTCTGTCCCCTGGAGAAGGCCCTGTCCTGGTGCAGGGGGAAGCTGGGGGATGCTCTTTGTGTGTGCCTGTGGTCGCTGCTCAGGCCGTGGCGTGTCCAGCCATCCATAATTCATGGGGCTGCCGCATTCCCAAACGGCACCAGGGTCGTCTGCATTACAGCTCTTAAATTGTTTATACAGGCACAAAAAAATGGTACATTATAAATGTTGGAAGTACCAGCAAGAGCAAATCACAGCCTTGTCCAGAGGCTATTCTTGCTCTGCCTGAGCGTGGGGAAAGCAAAGCATATGTTGGATGTTAGCCGGGGTGTACACAGCGTGTCCTATTTATTCAAGGTTTGCTTTGAAGCCACAACTTACAAGTTTGTTTCTTAGGGGGGACATGTCAGACTGCATTTAGCATCGGTTGGTATTAGGATCCTCCTGAACAGCAAAAAGGCAACATTTTGGGGGGAGAACGTGGCTGCTATCTGAGCAGTGATCTGTCAGATCCGCTTAGGAGGCTGCGGAGAGCTGCAGAGGAGGCACTGGGAGGGGCTGGGCTGAGCGCTCAGCATCGCGGGCAGAATTGTGCCAAGGCCCTTTAAATGGAAGAATTAATCTCCATATAAGTGGTCTGTAGTTCATTATGATAAGAAGCAGGCAGAGCACTGCAGCACAGCCCCAGCTGGCCAGGACGTGCCAGAGCGAGGTGCTCAGCAATTCCAGGTGCCATGGCTGTGTTTGAGGGACATTAGTCCATCTCTGGCTGCTCACAGGCTTTTCAAACACATTTTGCCTCGCAAGATGAGCCTTGAGGTGTGTAAGGGAAAATCTGTGCTCTGGAATCAGTCGTGAATTTAAGATTTTGGGGCTCTGCTCTCTGGTTTTCCTGCTGTCTCCTGGAAGGGGAGTTACCATACACCACATCTGGGGCATGCCCAGATCAGGGCATTGAGTGTTTGGTGCCTTGTTCTACAACCTGCAGTATGTTCACTGCGAGGTCAGCAAGTGTCCTTTATTTCTTGCATTCTTAGTATTTTTGCCTACGCTCCCTGCCAAAATATTTTAGTGTGGAGGTTATTTAAAGGTGGAAAAAGCCTCGGCAGAGGATTTAGCTTTCCCTGTTTAGAGCAAACCCCCTGAGAAATGCTTCCCAGGCACACGTGCAGGCACACAGACACACACACAGAAATCAATGCAAAAGAGTAGGGCATTCATTAAGCTGTCAAAAATGGAATAAATGCTTTTTTTTATTTAGGCTCTTGTAGCTATTTTTCCTCGGATTTGAGTGTGTCCTGAATTATGAAATGTTATAGCTTTATAACTCATGTTTGACAAATGGGTATTTGGAGATGTGGAGCTGTAATGGGGGTATTACAGACAACTCTGCGACTGTTTCTCCTTCCCTGGGTATAAAAACTCTGACAGTTTGTCACTAAAAACACTTTCCATAGGTGATTTTAAATGCAGCCACTCATATTTCTTGGTGCCTCAAACCTGAGGCTGGATGGGTGGGAGAAGCCTTGCAGGGAAAGTAGCCCCAACTGGGGAAATACTCCGCGTGTCCCCATATCCTCTTGTTTTCCGATACGTTCTGTCCCGTGCGCTGTGTGACAGAGCTGTGTGTGACACCCTGAAGGAAATGGGCAGCCTGGGGTGTGGGGGTTGTGAGGGGATGCAGGGCTGAACCCACAGAGCCCGGGAGCTCTCCTCGCTGGTGTTGGCACAGTGGATCCAGTATAACCAGTGCTTCCCAGTTCTCTGGCCGTGGCTCTCCGTCGGCTCTGCCTGTCAGAGCTTTTTCTGTCATTTTCAGAAGGGATAAAATCACTGGCCTGAACCAGCTGCATCTTTAACCCAGTTTTGCCTCTGTCAGAGGGGCAGGCTGAGCCACGTCCCTGCAGGACGGGCCCTTTGCACGACGAAGGGCCGCGTGGTGCTCGGGGCCATGCCCCAAAAGCACGGGATGATAACTGCAGCTCCTGCTGTACCTGTAACAATTTAATCGTGTGAGTCAGCCCAGTCAAGCATCCCCAGCTCATGACTGGGAGACATGAAATTCATTGTCATTATTGTCCCTGTCATTTTGGATCATTATATCCTGCTGCAGAATTTTCCTCACTCCAGTGCTTTCTTACCTCCAGGAAGCAGGGATTATGGCTGAGGTTGGGGTGGGGGCAGGACTGTGAACTACATTTACCTCAGGGGAGCCACAGATTAAATTGGCTTTGCTTTCTGACTTGCTGGATTCGTCTGTTTGTACGCTGTGGGTTTAAGGCTGGAAATGATGAATATTCCAGTGAATTCCTGGCCTCTCTCTTTTCTTTTTTTTAATGCTCCTATAAGCAAAGCATGGGGTTTGTGTCCCTTAAGAAGTGAACGGGGAATAATTCCTCAGATCACGTTACCAAAAAGATTTAAGGTTATTCCCGAGCAAAACGACGTTATTTGCACATTGTGGCACAAACATCTGAGCTGTCCCCGGTGTGTCGTGGCTGTTAGGGAAGGAATGGAGCTCTGCTGTGATCCAGGTGTGTGTGTTTTATGGGAGCTCAGCGTGGGTCATTAGGTAATGGGTACATGGCTCCCTGTGGTCGGAGCGATTGTGAACGGGGCGGATGATGGGATGCTGCACAGCTCCCTGCTCCTGTCCCTGCTCCTGGGCAGGGGCTGGGGAGCTGTGTGTTCATCACCTTCACACAACATTTAGGGTGCAAAAGGACTTCAGGATCATCGAGTCCAACCTGTGACCCATCACCAGCTAGAGCAGAGCACTGAGTGCCATGTCCAGTCCTTCCGTGGACACTTACAGGGCTGGTGACTCCATCACCACCCTGGACAGCACATGCCAATGCCTGACAGCCCTTTCCATGGGGAAATTCCTCCTGATGTCCAACCTGAGCCTCCCCTGGCACAGCCTGAGGTGTTTTCTCTCACCCTGTCCCTGCTCCCTGGGAGCAGAGCCTGACCCCACCTGGCTGCAGCTCCTGGCAGGGAGTTTCACAGAGTTGTCCCTCACCCATCAGCAGGGTTCACTTGCCCAGTTCTCCTGCCCACCACCACCAGGCCTGTTTCTCCAGCAATGCTCTGGGTTTCCATAGGTTCACAGAATAATTACTTATTAAATTGCTGCTGCTCAGCTCTTCGATGGGATGTGTTGGATCCCTCCAGCAGCAGTGCCCAACA